AGTCTATTCGTCACTAAATTATGGATGTTTGTCTTAAAGGTTTCTCTTTGTTTTTTCATTAGCTACTAGGTAGGCAAGATATATATACATTGCTATGGTGACCAGCAGTCTGCACGCCAATCTTCAGGGTTGGTGAATTAGCAGTTATGCATTAATTCTAGTGTTTAATTGTTGTGACTGTGTTTGAACGATCAGCAGAGCTTGACTTTACTGCAAAGGAGGATTGTTTCATTTTTACCTAAAAATCTGACTCTGCTGTGGAGCCACAACAAGCCAGTAAAAGAGCCACCTCGAAGCTCCATGTTGCTGACCCCTTGGTTGGGGGGAGCCATTTTTTTCTTTGCTTCACCTATTCTTCTGGTCATTTTGATACAGTGCCTTACGCTGAAGTGGACATGGGAGCAAACAGAATGTGAGCTGAGGTTTAATCTTTGTCAAATAACAGAACATTCTAAAAAGAACCTTCAGTGGAGATTGTGGTTGTAGTTTGATGTCATCTCTAATTTGGCCACAAAACTGTAATTAATCTAGTAAGAAAGAATGAAATAGCGGACTCAAAATCATAAATGGCTTAACAGAGCAATCTCATCTATGGTTACTTACAATAAATGCAGTATCAAAAGCAATGCTCATGTGTGGGAATACATGTATATTCCTACGGTTTGCATGAAATAAAAAGGGCAGTAAATGAGTTTTTAACATCACATTTTTACCATGACAAGCCACTTAGACCACTAGAGCCCCCCAGGACCGAGCCCTATGCTGCACAACCTCCTCACTCACAACTGCACTGCCAAGCATCAGAGCAATCACATCATCAAGTTTGCTGATAACAATACAGTTGTGGGGCTCATCTCCAACAATGAGACAGCCTACAGAGAGGAAGTGAGGCAGCTGGAGTGCTGGTGTGAAGACAACAATCTTCCTCTGAATGTGACCCAGACAAAAGAGATGATTGTAGACTTCAGAAGGTCACAGACGCCTCCCACCACTCTGCATATCAGCGGTACAGTGGTGGACAAAGAGCACAGTTTAAAGTTCCTGTGAGTGCACATCTCCAACAATCTCTCCTCTTCCCTAAACGCCTCCTCCTTAGTGAAGAAGGCACAACAGTGCCTCCACTTCCTAAGGAGACTCAAGCAGGCTGGCCTGCAAACAGCCATCCTCATCTGCTTCTACAAAAGCAGTTTTCATCCTGCACCCGCCCACTCTGCAGAAAAACGGAATTTGTCCCGCCCCCGCCCGCAGCCGAAACACTTTGGCCCGCTCCCATCTGTTCCATCGTGGTGACCTGGCATCCAATATCTGACCAAAGCCTAGGCTGCAGCCGAGGTAGCGCAGGTCCTCGTGACTCCTCCTTAGTAGCCTCGACTACAAAAGGAACAGTCCTGGAACGAGGCTGCATTGTCACGTCACCAGAGCAGCGTGAAACTCGTGAGAGAACTGGTGAGAGAAAATGGTGCCCATTGCATTGTGTTTGTTGCTTTTTCATTGGTGTTTTTTTTTTTTCTTTGCTTCATTTGTGTGCAGAGGACTGTGGGTAACTGAAGGCTTGTAAGGATACATCTGATGCATCCTTGAAATCACTCAGATCGTAGGCTGCATTTTAAGGCTGTATACAAAGGGTCCTTCACTTTTGAACAGCCTGCTATGCCGCTGTGGTAGGCTGTATTTCTTGGCTGCAGTCTAGGCTTTGGAACGCAGCTACAGTCTATTCACAAATACTGCTGAAATAACATGGTGGTCATAGTCATTGGGCTCACTGTGAAGTAACTTCACCGTACGGCACTTATTCCCACTAAACACAAAGCAAGAATTAAACCACAGAATGGTTATTTTTGCTGTTTTGCTGGGCTCTGCAGCTGTGGGTCATTGGGTCAAGCTTCCCTGCTATTAAGGACATCTACACCAAACAGTGTCAAGAGAAAGCATGCAACATCAGGAAGGACCACTCTTATCCATCACAAAGACTGTGTACACCACTCCCATCTGGAAGAAGACTATGGAGCATCAGGGCCAAGATTCCAGATTCATGAACAGTTTCTTCCCACAGGCAGTCAGATTGGTGATCGGCTCTACCTGATAGATCTTCAAACATTCTCGCTGGGCTACAACCTCAGCCATAATACTCACTTTATCTGCTGCACTTTCACTTCCACACTCAGTCACATTACTGTGAACCTTTAACCTCACTCACTTATATGCACAGTCACTTTGATCTGTATTGCCTGCAGTTTTACTTATCTTTGTGGTTGCATTACAAAACTATTGTTAATTATCAACAACAATAAACAATACACACAGAGCGGTCATTGCTGCTGTGAACCAACAGATGGTCTGTTTTCTCAATTGTCCCATGCTCAATGGCTGTATAATTGCAGTTATTGTATATTTAGAGAAGAATTTATGGTGTCGTGCTTGTATAGTTTGTGTTCATTGTGTTTTTTATCTGTCTGCACTGTTGTCTGCTGCTGTTTTATGTTAAATGTAGCACCGTGTCCTGCAGCAACTACATTGCGCTCCTCTCCCAACACATCTGCGGTGAGAAGGAATGACAATACAGCTCACTTTGACTTTGAACAGGTACAAGACTAAATCAATCCTTCTTGAAACATACTGATGAAATTTAATATCGCCATACAGTGGCTGGAGTGCAGCGTAATGTCAGAGGGCAAACCTGTGTTCTTCTTCTTCTTTTTTTTGGCATTTTTCATCAGTTTTGTCACCTATTTGGTCGTGTTTAATTCCACCTGCTATTTACGTCCTCCCCAGTCGCATGAAGCCACTAGTGCTAGTGCTACAAGTGCTAGTCCTCTACAGGGAACAAACTTAAAAGTGGCATTTTCTGTACTTTTTAGCGCACAGTTTCTTCTTATTTGCTGAGTTTAACATATTTGAAGTTTTACACAGGCCACATTTTGTGGTTATTTTTTTCCAAAATGTTAAGTACAAAGTATAAATACAAATAAATAAACAAATAAACAGTAATTGTGCATTAATGTGTTATTTTCACTTAACAACATAATATGGAACACTGGCAAACAATCACTGACAAATTCATGACATGCTCTCATTCCCATGCTTTACTCAGTCATGGCCACAACTTAATTATCTCATTCCCATGTTTTTCTAAGTCATTTTTATTTAGATGGGATGTCACCAGCAGGGCTCAATAGACGTTTGAGTAATACTGGAGGAGAATTCCAGTCAGGAGCATCGTAGTTGCTTACTTAAAGGCATGTTTTTCTTAATTCAGTGTGTATTACAAAATTTTAGCAATGTAAACCATGCTTCCCAGGACGCTGTACGTGGATAAATGTAACTTGACTAGAAGGTAAGTTGCCTATGGCTTAATAAGGGTATATCAAGAATTCAGCCTGTGCATGTCAAAATGGACCAGGCTATCTTATCTTTAAACTAAAAAGAGAGGTGGGTGGCGATATTAACTCTGGTGGTGTCTTCAGGCTACCTGCTTATCTATTTGGATTCAGATTTGAAATGGAAATGTGGCGAACACACTTGAAGTGCTTTTTGAACTACATTATCCACAGATTAAAACTAAAACACAGCAATTTGTCATTTGTTCTGCTTAGACTGTTGAGACCCCAGCAGATTAGAGATTACTGAGGCTTTGTTCAGGTCAGGATAGAGACCAGGCTGTGGCAGAGGCACTTTTATTAATGCTTATTGTATCTGTATTCATATCTGTATTCATCTGTTTAGAGCACACTCTGTGTTAATTCCAAATCTTGTATATAATTAAGATTTTGCAGTTATACATCATTGATTATTTTGTTATTACTAATAGTACTTTTTGAATCACATGTCTCTTCATAATCGTTTTGGTATATTTGTGTGTAAAGCAGTTGTGCCATTAAGTCTATTAAAGTGAAATACGGAACCTGAGAAAGAGCGAGAGAGAGAGAGATAAATAGACACTGAACGTATAACCACAAACACAAAGCCACGCCCCCTACATTCGAGTCCCAGTCCCAATGTGCCATTGCGCCTGAGGGTCCGTGTGCACGTGGGACTGTGAGCCATGAGGAACCTGCAGCAAACGTCCTCTGAGAGCGCACGTACACACACACACACACACACACACTCAAACACACACACACACAACCACTAATCCCATTAACATTCTGCACACAGCATGAATGTATGGACATTCACCTTTCACTGACCAGACTTCACCAACACCACACACTTAAACACACACACGCCGCGATGGGACGGAGGGAAAGAGAAGAGAAATGACACTGAAAGGGGGCGAGAGAGGGAGAATGAGACTGACAGAAAGACAGTGAGAGAGGAATAAGAAGCGTGCAGAGCCAGAGAGAGAAAGGAAGGAAGAATGGGACTGATATAAAGACAGTGAGGGACAGCAAGAAAGAAAAGAGAAAGAAAGAGAGAGAGAGAAAGCGAGAAAGAACTGAAATAAAGAGAAAAAAGGGTGAAGGGAAAGAGAGAAAGAGAGATGGAGACAGTGAGAGCGTAAGAAGGCTAAAAAAGAGAGAAAGAGAGGTGAAGAGAGAAAGAAATAGAAAATGTAAAAAGTGAAGAGAGATAAACAGAGAACGAGAGATAAAGAGAGAGTTAGAAAAGGAGAATAAAAAGAATGAGATAAACACAGAGAAAAAGAGACTGAAACAAGCAGTGCAAAAAGGATAAAAGACAGAAAGAGAGAGAAAACGAGACTTGAAGAGAATAAGAGGGAAAAAGAAAGAGGGGGAAGAGGAGAAGGAGAAGGAGAGGTGAAAAAAAATGGGAAAAAAAGGAAGAACAGAGAAAAGCAAACTGAACAGGAGAGAGAACAGAGAAGGTATGAAGAGACCATGAGAGGAAAGAGGAAGAGAAAGAGAAGGAAAGAGAGGAGGAAGGTGTTGCGAGCAAGAGAGAGTGAGAGAGCCGGAGAGAGGGAGAGTGTGAGAAAGAGACAGAGAGAATGAAGGAGAGAAGGACGAGCGTTCAGTAAAAACAGCGACTCGGTGACTCAC